GGGGACCCACGGCCCAACTTCGCACCATAACAAAGGCGGGGGTCTGTGCGGGCCGGGGGGCGGGCGCGAGCGGGCCGGGAGGGGGCGCCCTGCGGGAGGGAGCGGGGCCGGGGAGGGGAGGCGGTCTGTGGGGGAAGGGCAGGCCGGCGAGGGGGGAACGCGCTGGGGCAGGGGGCAGGGTGGGGGCCCGGCCGCAGAGGGGGCGGGTCCGGCCCGGGGCTGGGGTGTGCGGGGGCCACTGCGCCGGCTCCGGGCCCGAGTCCGGGCGGGGGTCTGCGCGGCGGCGTGGACCGGGCTCCGGGGCCCGAGGCGCGGCGGAGGCCAGGTAATTGGTTTCTATTTTAAACTTCACTTTGTTCTGGCGGAGGTGGGGCGGTGGGAAAGGCGTGGCCCCCCGAGGACGATTACATAAGTGTTCGCACCTGAGTTGGGTCCCGCGCCGGCGAGGCGGCTTCGGGGTGGAGTTGGTGGAGGGCACTTTGCTCGGGCTCCGCGCGTCGGGTCGCGCCCCGCGCGGGCGACCGGAGCAGTGTCTGGGGACGAGGAGGCCGGGGAGGACTCCGCGGACTCTTTCTAGAAGCCCCGATGTGCCCGTGGGCGTGGGGCCGGGCCTTCCGGGGGTGTCCGCTGCGTAACAAAGGACGGCGCCCTCGGACCCTCTGGTCCACTCGCGGGGCCGACTTACCCGCGAGTCACAAGAGGAACTTCAGTCGGCCAGCCCAGCTAGACGCACAGCAGAAAGGCATCTCCCCCCGAACGTGCTGTTAGGTCTTCAATCTCGCTTAAAGGTGATTTAAAGATAGGTTGATGTACGTCCACCAGTTGGCTGTGTAATAAATGCTGCTAAAATACTGACCGGAGTCGAAGCAAGGGTGGATAGCCCCCCACAAGGATCTTCTCCCAGATATTTTTTCCACCGTGTGTGAATACGACTGAAGTATTCTGGTTCAGGGATGTGTTACTTTAAGGAGCTAGGCGTGCATGCCATTTGATAGGGCCCTGGCTGCTGCCATGTAGAAAAAAGCTCATTTTATCGTTTGTTTGTTCCTCCTTCATTTTCTCTGGCGTTCTTTGATTGTGTCGTCCAAATAACTGTGTTATTTGTATTTACATAGACCAGCCAGAATTAAATATGCCACACACCACTATTGCGCGTGAATCCGAGACCCCCCTCCCCGTTAGCAAAACCGGGGAGTTGGGCCGAGCCCGCCGCGGAGTCCGGGCTGCGGAGTTGGGTTACTGCAGGAGGACATCTTTGGTTTCACAAGTGACCCCCGTGGCTGCCTTGAATGGGCTCTGGGATGAATCGAGCTCTGTGTGAGGCTCCCGAGTATTTTGGTAATTGAGTTAGAATTTTGCTGTGTTAAGATACAAGCATGTCTAATATTTTTCTTAAATCATTAGTAGGGCTTTGTTTCCTTACACTTGCTAATTTGAATATGCTGAAACATTCAGAGCCCCTTAATATTCAGAAAAAAAGTAATCCCAATGGTTCTGTAGTAAAGCTAGCCAAGAGGCATGGGAATGAATCCCTTTCTAAAATGAAACAAAACATCAAAGTAGCGTATTTGGTAGGTACAGATGTCAACGGTAGGTAGAGAGTTCTGCTTATTTTTATCTCTAAAAGCGTGTGTTTATCAGAATAATCTTCCCAACTGCCTAAAAAAATATCCTGAAATACAGGAAGAACTTTAACTTTGGTAGATGTATTTAATATTAATTGCTGATGTCCTGAGAATAGTTTACATCATCAGTGTTTTACTATTGTTTTTTTGTAAACAAAACTTTAAAGTCCACTGATTTGAAGATTCCCCCTCCCGCCCCCTCCCACCCTGAAGTGCTACGTTTCTAGCTTTAGAAGATGTCCCAGAGACCGAAGCTGAGTGAACAGAATGAGAGGTCTTCAAAAATAGGTCTCGGTGTTAGAAGCACTTTGTCTCCACTTCCATAAATGAAACTTTTAGCTCCATTTCCCTTATTGCTTTTACAAGGAGATATTTGAGTTTTATAAATGAAGCGTTTGATGTGATTAAGTTCAGCAACATATGTGAAAAAGGGAAGGAAACTTCTTTAGAGAATACTTTGGAATGAGGTATATTCTCCAGCAGATGGTTTGCAGTCTTACCAAATGGGGAAAATGATATGTGACCCAGCCATTTAATTAGAGTTTAGTCATGGATTGCTCTTGAAAAACCAGTACTCAGTTTATTGGGTTGTTGTGGATTTTTATTTATTCATTTTCCAGGATACGCATTGGTCTTACTCATAATTTACCAGAAGGAATCTTCTAAAAAGAATTAAGTGGGACTGACTGTGAGTCTGCGTGGAGATTGTGTTTGGAGTCTCAGCTGCAGTGTATGTTAATGCCATGGAAATAGGAAACTGAAATAGAAGCTGATTACGTTCCGCAGGAGGGAGCTTGTCTGAACCTGTGTACTTTCCTTTTATACTATGCTTGTTGAAATGTTCAAGACATTACACTATTTTGTTTTTTATTCCACTTTCAACTAAGAGAAAAGGACATGTGTTAATTATCTAATTAAAAGTGGTATTTTGCTTGTAATGTACGTAGATTGCTCACTGAGGAAAGCATTGCTGTCGAATGTGCAGGAAGCACATACCTACTTTCTCTTTGATTTTTGATTGGCCAGATTTAAGTGGAGACACCTAAACTTTATCAGCGATAGACGTGGATTTAGTCATAAGTAATAGAACTAATGGAAGAAAGCAGAAGGAAGTTCAATTTATTTGATTAGGTGTCTGCATGATAAATATTCTAACTTAGAAGTAACATTTTCTTCTTCAAAAGCAGACATCCTACTTGCTGTAAATGTTTATGCATTTTAGTACTTGGGTAAAGCTATTCTGACACAATCAATTAGTTCTTTCAAAAAATCATCTCTTTCTTCTCCTAACCCTTCCCCCTCAAAGTTCTAGAAGCTGTGGGGACAGTTCAGTTAAGTCCCCTGGTTCTGAGTGCAGTGCAGAGAGTACTGTGGGTCTGTGTCCTCCTCTTGGAGCCGAGCTAGAGCCGCCCGGACTTTCCTTCTCAATTCTCGTGTTTGCATTTATTGCTTAACCAGCATCCCTGGGCTGCTTATGATTTGGCACCTTTGACCTTCGCTTCCAGAATTGTTAATGTCTCAACATGAAGGACTAATTTTATTACTGTGTTTAGCTCACAGGGCCTTGGGAGAGAGGCCCTTACTCTGTTGTTGGGGAACTGCATCTCATTTGGATTTGCATTTTTCAAGTGAATTGCAGCGTCAGGATGTGGATTTGTTGTGAAGTCTAATTAGGTGATGGTTGGAATACATCTTTCTGTGCATCAGAGGCACAGAGGGACATGGAGACGCCTGGAGCCTCCCTGGGCTGCCATTCAGGTCGCCCTGTTTTCACAGTAGCAGTTCTTCCACTTTTGTGCTGGGTTCCCTTAAAGCTGGGTGCTAACTGGTGGCATGAGATGACAGTGTCACTGTTCCCCTCTTCTCCTTCCCCTACCCCTCCCGGGGGCTCTCAGCACCACCCTTTTCACCTCACTGGCCAAAAGTGTACTGGCAGCAGCCTGTTAAGGATCTGAAAGTATCTAGGGGCCACAGAGGAGACAGCATTTTTGCAGTTCAAGCCCTGGCTTTGGTTCTCTCTGGTCCCAGGGACAAGTGAGCTTGGGGTGGGGGAAGAGGGACCTCTGCCCCTAAGTTAAGGTCGTTCCCCCTGTTAGGCTCCAGCTATCAACATTTTACAATTTTCATGAATTTCGGAAAGTTGTCACAAACCCATTTTAAGAAAGGAATCACATCAAATATTTATTTATGTGTATAAAGACTTTATTAGTAAAACGAACCTTAATAGGAAGAGGAAGAATAAAGAAAAACTTTACTATGACTTTAGAATGTCTCATCCATCTCTTTAAAAAGCATCTTTATTTTAAAATTAATTTTCTTCCAACCAGAAATATTTTAGGGGGATGACTTAAATAGCTATGGGGAGGATGCATTTATAGAGGTTATAAATGTATCGCTTGTATTTGAAATTTCTACTGTCTGCTAAAGTGTACTAGGTACATTTTGGATGGATTGGTAAAAATTAGCAGTTGCAACTGTCCATTTTGCATTCTTTGTCCTCTGCATCTGGCCACACAGGATTTGAACAGCTGAAGCGTCTCTTTCCAAAGCTAGAGCTCTCATATTTATGTTCGGCATGAAATGTTTTCCAGTGCTATACATTCAGATTGTAAAGAGGTGTAATTTTGTGGCTCTTAACATGCCTTAAAAGTAGTTTTCCAAAAAAGATGTGGCATTTAATCTTCAATCCAAATGTACAGAAAATTACAAAGCAGGAGTCATTAGAAATGCAGCTATATTTAGAAAGCAAACATGTAAATATGTATTTAGTAATGAGTAAAACACAACACAGGAGAGTAGGGAAAAAAGTCATTTAAAAAACAACTCTATCAGGCCTCGATACAGTTTTCCGTATACTGTGTTTCAAATATGTGTTCATCCTGATAGATTTTCTTTCTGTTTCTGGTTTTCTTTTCTTTCTTTTTTTTGGTCAGGAAATGAATCAAGTTGTTATAGTCTCAAAATTTACTGCAGGAGATATATATTATATGTAATTGTGAAGTTCAGACAGTTCCTCAGCTGAGTGGGGAAAATGGGATAAGATTGAATATATTTTGTTATTTTCAAGGCAGAGTTAATCTAGTGTTTTATTCCTTCAAGACCAGGTAGACTTGTCTCTCACCGGTTCTCACGCCCTGGGGAATTGCTGGTGTCAGCTCAGCCTTCTGGATACAGCTGTCCTGTTATTTTCTTGCCATTTAGGAGACGGTGTGGGTAGACTAAGATGTGGTGTTAGCTTTCAGGACATAGTTAAAAGGCAGACTCTTAAAAATTGAGGTTTTTCTCTTAAAACTCTGTAACTTTTTGTTAATGGCTAAGAATTAGTATTTTTTTTTTCCCCAGCATTATTAACACTCGAAGAACCTTCTAATCCCCAACTCTTTCTTACCATGTGAAAGTAAGGGACATTTGTTTAG